TTGTTAACTCCCTTCAGAAGAGTAATAATGCTAGTAAGAAGGGTGGTTACTATACCCTCGTAACAAATTGTTATGAGATTTGATTTGGTAATATAATGCTTGATTGTTCTTGTATTGTAAACCTGAGCTTTTCTAATCAAACAAGTTATATGAACTATTGAACAACTGAGGCATAGTGGAGCTCATGAATATTGAGTTTAACTTGCATTTTTATGTTTGAAATAAGTGACAAATGGGTACTTTAGCAAGTTTTAATCATTAAAATATGTGAAACAAATATACTGCATATCAAAATTTCTTTGTTACACAGATAAACTAACTAACAATTTTTAGTATGTCGTTAGAAAGCAGATTGTGTGCAAGAATCAGCATCATGAATCAAAGTCTCTGGAAATATTATAAGAGAATATGAGTAAATGACCAGTTATTTACAATGCAAGTTATACTAAACATGACACAGAAATGAACAAATAATGCTTACCTTTCAGGTGCTTGTACTTTTTAAGTACACAGCTTCACATTTTTCTATTCAACTTGATTTATTTCATCTGTTAAACTGCAGTGAGCATTGTAGGTGTGTTCAGTCTTGACCTGGAACTAAAATAGAAAAATTACTTATAATCAAGTGCATTAAAAAAAAAGTATAAATAATGTGATTGGTACTTTAGATCTTTAAATGAGCTTTCTGACCTTACTATCAACACTTTCCTATTAAATATAAAACATACAAGAAATATATGTTATAATTTAAACTTTTCAGGCAGAAGAGGCCAAACTATCGGCAGAAAAAGCATTTGAAGAATGTACCGACATTGCTCGGCAAGAGGTACGTTTGAGGTGTTAAAAGATATCTTTGAAGTTTACTTTCTCATATACCAGCAGGATGAGTCTCTAGAAATTTAAATTCACTGGTATCATTTAGGCTGTGTGGAACATTATCTAAATTATCTGAGCAAGGTTTACTAAATTCAACTTGGATTGAATATGTTTGTTTAGTTTTTCTTTTATAAACATGCGTTTATAATATAACTGTTTATTTGTCAACTTTATTAAAATTAGAAAAAAGAGCTTGTTAAATTTAAGTAATTATTATTTACCTATCCTCTTAACAAAAAATTATTATAATATCATGTCACGCAATAAAGAAAAAAAATGGTCATAGAACTCGATTGTTTGTAGGAGTGAAAAAATTTGATATATAAATATAACACACCGAAAAGGCCTGTCAGTTCACAATAAGATATATTCTGAACAAACAAAGCATGAAACTAATGCAAAATGAATATGCAACAACAAAAAAAAAGAAAAAGAAAGAAAACAGTAAAATAAAAAATACAAAGCTGTTGATTTTCCACAACTTTTCTGCTTCAAGGTTATTTGAAACACTAACTACAAGAAGGATTTGATAAGTGTCCAATTAATTTAGTGCTTTCAACTTTCTGTAGTTACTTGTAGTGCTGATATGTACATACACATATATATAGATAAATCATTATGTATTTTTATTTTCAGATGAAATTCTTTCATCGCCAGAGGGCTGCTATCTTTCAGGATAGGCTAGTGAGATTTACTGAAGAGCAGGTGAGGTGTAGGAAAGACCTGTGTACAGCACTGGCAAAATATCTGACTAACCTGAAGGAATTCCAAGCTCCTTGTTCAGAAGAGTAGGTAGGTAGCAGAAAAATTAATAAGGTGATGTAGCAGATACAGCAATGCAACTTGAGGTTTAATTTTAAGTGGGGGAGATTCTTGTGGAAGTCACCTGTAAGCTGTTCGATGTTTCTAAAGTGAACATACAATATGTGGTCTGACATGTGATTATACTGTACACTTACATTGCACACAGTAAAAGCTTATTGGTACTTTATTGTTAGGCTCTTCTGATATTTTTGTGGGCAAAGGGAATGCAACTGATCCTCTCCTCCACAATTTAGCAGATGTCACCAGTCAAGCATAGGTAGTGGTTTATATGATACCTTGAAGGAAAAAGATTTAAACTATATAAAATTGTAAAGTCAGAGATAGAGAATTAGTTTTCATAATATATCATGAAACTGTTACATGATTGTGTTAGAGTAGAACCATTGTATGGATGTGTTAGAGTAGAATTGTCTTATGATTTTGTTAGAGTAGAACCGTTGTATGATTGTGTTAGAGTAGAACCATCGTATGATTGTGTTAGAGTAGAATCGTCGTATGGATGTGTTAGAGTAGAATCGTCGTATGGATGTGTTAGAGTAGAATTGTCTTATGATTTTGTTAGAGTAGAACCATCGTATGGTTGTGTTAGAGTAGAACCATCGTATGGTTGTGTTAGAGTAGAACCATCGTATGGATGTGTTAGAGTAGAACCATCGTATGGATGTGTTAGAGTAGAACCGTCGTATAATTGTGTTAGAGTAGGACCATCGCATGGTTGTGTTAGAGTAGAACCGTCGTATGGTTGTGTTAGGGTAGAACCGTCGTATGGTTGTGTTAGGGTAGAACCATCGCAAGGTTGTGTAAGAGTAGAACCGTCGCATGGTTGTGTTAGAGTAGAACCGTCGCATGGTTGTGTTAGAGTAGTGATGTTCTAATGATTTCTTTCTAAGACATCTGGACCACAAGATAAGATTTTTGAATTTTAGTTGATATACTAGAATAAAAGTAAATAAAATGTAAAAATGTTTATTTGGTATGAATATAATGCTTGAAAAGTTGATAAGAAAATCTAGGAAATATTAAAACTTTAGTAGTTCGAGTTGTTATAAACTGCTTTAGTGGGTTATACCTTTAGCTCAGTTGTAGAGCATTTGTAGAGTCATATCTGAGGTGTGGAAATATATCGTGAAAACATAGATAACAATAAAACTTTGACTTTCATTTGTTTTTTGTGTATTAATTCCATGCAAGAAATGAGTATTTATGATATGTAATTATATTTCAATACATACAGGATACTTGTCTCAGCAAAGGGTTCTGTTCACAGAAGACTGTACACTTTCCAACCAGCTGTGTTCATATTAGGATTGAAAAAAAAAATCAAGATCTCCATCCTGCTCCCATAGGACTGGGTAGTTTTATACATCATTACTCAATGTTGGTCACATATTTTAATCACCCCAAAAACTTTTTATCCATTATTTGTGTAACTATGAACACATGAAGAGATATTTATAATGTTGGAACACTTTTTTAACATGCAGTTTGTGTTCTTATTTTCTAAACTGTATGTAAAAATGTAGCAAAACTTTTGTTTTGTTAGACCAAGGAAACGATAAAATTGAAGCATTTTCTTTGCATAAAATCCAGAGAGTCTGGAAATGTAACTGACCATTGAGATTACTGACATTCACTGTAAAAAACTACCTTAACCAAAAAGTTAAACATCAGTTGTTATCTTCATCAGGGGCAATAGAGATCACGTGTGTGTCTGTTGGAATTAAACAGATTATCTAAAACTGAGAAATATTATCAGTGCTACGAAAATGACCTAACTGCAAACATGTTTTGATAACTATCGAATTAAGTCAGTAAAGTGATTACTAGTATAACAGTATTATGTGGTCATCAACTTTTTTTTTTGACAACCTACTTTGATTAGTATAGCAAGTTTTTTTATATGTCTGATGAAGATAACAGCTGATGCCCGAATATAACAGAAGTTGTTTGTAATTAGTTACGAGTTTTAAGGTTTGCTCTTTTATTTTTTTCTTTACTTTACCTTTAAAAACTTGAAGATGAGTGTGTTCAGTACAGTTTGTGTTGAGTACGCTAAACAAAATCAAAACACACTTTCATCCAGGTAGAAATTTAAATACCTTATTTTTTTGCATTTAAGTAAACTAGAGGCTTATTGGTAGGATAAGGCATTAATTGTTGTTTTGTTTTGTTTTTACCTTGAGCTTAAAAAGCATATGAATAATCAAGTCATTCCAAAAAAAATAGTGCTTATAAAAGTCAGATGTTCTGGCTGATTTGTTTGTGTCGCATTAATAATTCATTCCATTTATTTATCTATTATTATAATGTCTACATGGACAACCATAATTAATGTATTTTAATTTACTATATTAATATAGTAATTATATTTATCTTCTTGGATTATGTTAATCAAAATTTATAAATTTAATGGTAATTATATATATATATATATATATATTTTTTTTTATGTGGTCAGTTTTCAACAGATATATTGGACCACTGATACCTGTTTAAGCTATAACTTCTTTCTCTAAGTGTATTGAACGAGTAGAAATTTGATTATTGAATTTTGTTTTTCTACAGAAAAGCTAGAAATAATGCTAATCCTATACCAATTGGTCATTTTGGTGTTTTGAATTGTGGGTAGTTCACGAAGGGACCATGACACAGAATTTTTCAAAGTAACAGAAAATAACTTATCATAAGCTTGGATGTTGATGTACACATCAGAAATCTCCATAGGAAACAAAGGCCTAATCACGAATATAAATTGGAGAAAAAAAAAAGAAATTTAGATTATAATAATTATAAAGTAGGGAAATGAATGTAATTGAAAACGTTTTTAGGTGCATATAAGAAAGTAAGTGTAAACAGTATATTCACATTTAAAACATTTTCAACTGATCAGAAAACGTCTCGTAGCAGTTTGCTGAATCCAAAACTGTTGTGCTCTTGTAAAATTAGTCATAATTTATAGTTTATATAAAACATGTACTTTAAAAGTTCTATAGTATTAAATTTTTTGTACTGTTCAATTTTTTTTCAGGATTAGAAACTACATAAGACTTGCAAGATGTTTTTCCACTTAAGAACAATATTCTACAGAATTTTTTATATGAAAAGTAAAACTAGTTGAAGTATGTAAACACGGTGTCCATAATTCCTACTCAAATGCTACAGAATTTTATTAATTGACAAAAAAATAATTAAAAACAACCTCCCGTGTGAAATCTGATTTCAATACCTTAAATTATTCTAACCAATAGTGTACAATAATTTTGTTTTGAAACTACAAATCATCTAACCTTGCTTTTAAGTAACAAAACTTTTATTTAAAGGCATGGGTGCACTATTCTATTTACAGTCTTAGAAAAATCTATTTAAATGCCTTTTTTTACCATTTCCCTTTTTTGTTTGTTTTTGTATCTTAGGCTGCTACACTTATGTCTAGTGGCATTTCTACAATTTTTTATTTTGGTGTACACAGGAGGAGGAAAAAAAGAGTTAATTTGTGGGGAAGGGGGCAGAATAATTAACACTTTCATGGTCAGTGGGAGCCACAATGTGGAGAGAATTTATAATCTCAAAAGAATATATCCTGATGGGGTGTCTGGGTGGACACACACCCCTCTCAATGTGCGAGTTAAATAATGATTCTGAGAGTTTCTCTTGGGTGATCATTTTGGTATGAAGTCATTGAACTCTTGGCTTAATCATGGACTGCACCTGTGCCTATAAGACTAAACGTACTTGCCTATGTTCAACTGCTCATATGTAACTAGATTATAAGTAGTTATTTTAGACATGGCTTTTAGGTATATAGTATATATTTTTGTTTATATTGTTCACCATAAACAGAATAATAATAATAATAATACTTAGTTTATTTACAGTTACAGCTGATGAGTATGACTTCTTTCTTATTGAGACCAAGCAATAGTGTATATTTTTGTTTATATTGTTCACCATAAACAGAATAATAATAATAATAATACTTAGTTTATTTACAGTTACTGCTGATGAGCATGACTTCTTTCTTATTGAGACCAAGCAGTAGTATATAGTTCTGTTTATAGTGTTCACCATAAACAGAATAATAATAATAATACTTAGTTTATTTACTGTTACAGCTGATGAGCATGACTTCTTTCTTATTGAGACCAAGCAATAGTATATAGTTCCGTTTATAGTGTTCACCATAAACATGATAATAATACTTAGTTTATTTACAGTTACTGCTGATGAGCATGACTTCTTTCTTATTGAGACCAAGCAATAGTATATAGTTCTGTTTATGGTGAACACCATAAACAGAATAATAATAATACTTAGTTTATTTACAGTTACTGCTGATGAGCATGACTTTTTCTTGTTGATACTGTTCATAAGCATGACCACTTTCTGTTAAAAACCAGCAATAGTATATAGTTCTGTTTATAGCATTCATCATAAACAGAATAATAATAGTTAGTTTCTTTACACTTATTGTTGATAAACATGACTTCTTTCTTGTTGAGACCCAGCAATGGTATATAGTTTTGCTTATAGTGTTCACCATAAAAGAATAATAATAACAGTAGTTAGTTTATTTACACTTATTGTTAATAAACATGACTTCTTTCTTGTTGAGACCCAGCAATAGTATATAGTTTTGTTTATAGTGTTCACCATAAACATTAATAATAACAAGTTTCTTTACACTTATTGTTGATAAACATGACTTCTTTCTTGTTGAGACCCAGCAATAGTATATAGTTTTGTTTACAGTGTTCACCATAAACATTAATAATAACAATAGTTTCTTTACACTTATTGTTGATAAACATGACTTCTTTCTTGTTGAGACCCAGCAATAGTATATAGTTTTGTTTACAGTGTTCATCAAAAATAGTATAATAATAAAAATAGTTAGTTTCTTTGCTGTTATCGCTGATAAATTAGCTAGTTTACATCTGTTTAACTCCTTGTTTACCATAGGGGCATACTTGGTTTACCTTATTTCTATTCCCAGGGACCACATAGATGTACTCTGATGAAGTTTTCACACCAAACCCAATGATATGGGGTTTGTAGGACCTTAGGATCTTTCTTCAATAAAGTATACAGTAAATCAATAACATATAAAATTTTTGATAATTTGACAATTTTCACTGGTGCCTGGGAATACAAAATTTGTGTTGTGAAAAAAAAAAGTTCTCACTTTTATTACTTTCCAAAATATATTTCTACCATAGTATGCCAAATTAATTTAGATCAAAATGAAACTAAGGAACTTCATATGTATGATACTTCTAATGGTGTTTTTTGTGTGTAAAACATACATTATAAAACCAAAAAAAAGAGTAGAAATTAAAAAATTCTGTGGCATATATAAATTGTTGTAATAAAATATACTTCAAGGTATTGGAAGTGGTAGTTTTCTTCCATCACTTCTGCAGAAGATGAAACTTTGTTGTTGTTTTGTTAGATTTTTCTCTCTAATAAACTAATAATCAGCTTTTCTTGGATTTAGTTCCACATCAGTTCCCCCGTAAAGCATGAGTGATCTTAGTTTATTTTTTGACATTACGTGTTGTTCTCTAAATACAAAATAATTACTTTAATCAAGTAATTTATAAAGGCAAGATTACTCATCTTTAATATCTGCTAGAGTAATAGACATGCTAAATCTTAGGAAACAGTCCTGGAATCAGGACTGTTTCCTAGGATTTAGTATGTCTGGACTGTAAATCAGGACTGTTTCCTAAGATTTAGCATGTCCGGACTGTAAATCAGGACTGTTTCCTAAGATTTAGCATGTCCAGACTGTAAATCAGGACTGTTTCCTAAGATTTAGCATGTCCAGACTGTAAATCAGTACTGTTTCCTAAGATTTAGCATGTTCGGACTGTAAATCAGGACTGTTTCCTAAGATTTAGCATGTCCAGACTGTAAATCAGGTACTGTTTCCTAAGATTTAGCATGTCCAGACTGTAAATCAGTACTGTTTCCTAAGATTTAGCATGTCCAGACTGTAAATCAGGACTGTTTCCTAAGATTTAGTATGTCCAGACTGTAAAGACAGTCCGGACATGCTAAATCCTAGGAAACAGTCCTGATTCACAGTCCGGACATGCTAAATCCTAGGAAACAGTCCTGATTCACAGTCTGGACATGCTAAATCCTAGGAAACAGTCCTGATTTGCAGTCCTGGACATGCTAAATCTAGGAAACAGTCCTGATTTACAGTCTGGACATGCTAAATCTTAGGAAACAGTCCTGATTTACAGTCTGGACATGCTAAATCTTAGGAAACAGTACTGATTTACAGTCTGGACATGCTAAATCTTAGG